GATCTTTGCCACGAATAATTACCGCGGCCGCTAGTGATAAGAGCCGTGGGCTGCAGGAAATCTGAGGTTTTGATCGTCGAGAAACGGACCGACCTAGCGATCCAGGAAACAGAAATGTGCCGTTGAATGGATCGGCTGTTGTGGGACTTTATTCGCACAATTGCATGCGGATAGAATAGCTCTATTTCCAAGGTAAGTGTCCGGTTGTTCACACGAACTCTGGATTGTAGCTTGATTAACATGAAACGTAATGGCGGAAGTGTACGATTACCAAAAACAAAGATCCGGAAATATCCTTTCTGGGCCCACAGGTGTCTCCAGGGTCAGGTGTCTCCAGGCTGTATTTAAGGCTAACAAAGACCAACAGGTGAGCGAGCTGTTCCATGAAAATGCTTAGATGGCTTTGAACCGCATTGCACGTTTTCAACACTCTAACCGTTCCAATAAACAAACTTGCCTATTGTTCTAGTTGAGTTGTCGACATTTGTGAACTTGAAAATGAATGCATGCCAAACCTTGACAGGGGGGAGGGGATACGTACCTCTGGTCCCACCCCTGAATGCACTCCGCATGCAGCTTTTATTTTTCGCTGCGTGGAGGATCTTGCAAATTAGGGAGAAGGCCAATAGAAATATATAATATTGACGAAGCATTTCGATGCAAATGATGGGGGGCTTACCTTGGTTCTATTCTGATAACTATGTGCCTCTGGCATTACTTCAGAGCAGTGACAGATGCAAGACACGCGGAGTAGACGAGTGAAAGCGCGTGTTTGGTACAAAAGCTGGGATGCGTGCACTGCATAACAACTGCCGCTCACTTCCACACGGGTGTGCTTGATACCTCTCATGTGACCAGATGTATTCTCCTCGGCAAAATCTGACCTCAGCTTGGATGTTTTAATCACTTTGTTATCGGCACAAACCCTGCTCGAAATTGCCTCGATTGAAATCTGACCTATTGTTACCCTGGTGCTATTTCCCGGAGCTGCCTATACTCCCATGTTTCTGCATTCAGCATGGAATAAATGACCGGCAATAGGCTAGCATATCACTTGGCTATAAATTATTTGTGAGGCATCATGTGAGCAAACTTACATTAATATCAGCGCCGAAACCGATGTCGATTTGTGACGCCCTCTTCCTCCCCTCTACGCTCTATTGGCTCCTTTTCCACAGACGAAATCCGAAGTTATTTTAGAGATCGATAATGCCTATTTGCGATACATCTGATGACATCCAACCTTTTTTATTTCACTTCTTTGTTCAGCATTAAGAGGGCCATTTGCTAATATATGACTCCGAAACTATCGCAATTTGTCTGGCGTGCCTTCCACTAACCAAACTTGGAGCGGTCCCTGTCAAGATCAAGCGATCAAGGGTCACACACGGCGATTGCAGTGTGCGACCTTGAGGGTGTGCTATAGTACGAAGGGCGCGTCGGGGGACGTTTGTAATTATCAATTGCTGGACTTACGTCAAATAGCCTTCAGGGCATTATTTCGAACTGTGCCGAGGCCGATGCCTTCGGAAATATTGTGGAAACGGGATAAGGTGGATTCAAAACGCTGCGAAAGTTACTCAGGGTTGATAACTATTCTGAAAACCTATTCCCACTAAGAGCTGATTATCGCTAATTGCAAATTTTACCGAATTGCTGGGGCACGGAATTGTTTAAGGCACTCAGCAGGTTATTGCTAGAGCATTTACTGTAGCAGCGACTTTATTCTTTTGCCAGAGGCAGAGAGACGGATCCCAGTTCGGTGCCGTCCACAAAAGGTGGCCTCCAGCTGCAGGTACTCGAGCGCTGCATTCAATCACCGAAAAAAGCTGACTGGTTTTGGTACGGACCCGAGTCCGGCCAGATTCAGAACCAGCTCGGTGGTCATGACCATTCGTTCCTGTCTGAAGGGGCGGTTTGATTGATTTCACGAATTAATTGAAATGAATCTATGATCCACCAGTTCAAAGGAACGGAAATTCGGGCCCAGGAAAAAAGGATCATATCTTAATCCAACCCGGTGTCAAAGCATTCTGAATACGTTAAGCTTGTTCTCAGACTCATGCTCGAGAAGAAAGCACAAAACTCAAATGACACTAATATCAAATAAGACAGGCCTTAGCCGCTACTCCATATCGTGCATCTGGTCTGGTGCTTTCACCTTGTAAGCAGCCACAAACTTACAGTTCCCACATGGGTCAGACCTGGATATCTCCGATCGTCTGCCACTGCATTCTGATAAGAAAAGACAGGCCTTTAAAAACGTGGAACTGATGGATTCGGACTCAGTTCGAGCTAGATTGAATAAGAATGAGCGAGAAGTTGTACTGGTTGGTTAGACTGGATACATTGGATCACATCTAAAGAGGTCATGAAACGGCGGACGGTGAATATCACACGGCATATGTCTCTGAGCCCAGCAGGACTTCTGGTGGGTAGACGACGATTCACAGCGTGCTCCGTCTGCACCAAAGCGCATCGAGAGGTGTTGGTGGCGGACAGAGTTAATCAGTTTGAGGGGAATGCTCCATATGGTATCATATGTCTCCATATATTAACAAGTTCGCCATGTCGTCCAGTATTATCTCAGGTAAAGTTTTTAACCGGTTTTCGAACGACCTTGGGATAACCCTGGTGTAGGTCTTGGATGATGATGGTTTACGGGTGCGCTGTCGGCCGATGTCATTTTGGGCCCCTGGTAAAGGTCTTGCATGCAAGCCATGGATCATGGTTTAACCTGGCCTTGTGGGCCGCGGACTCAGGTGCGGTCGTTGCATCCATGAACGCCGTTTAGCACGGCATAAATCATAACTGCATCTCGCTCTATGAAATTCTCCGTAGAATTTCCGCTCCCTCAGTAGCTGGGGTAGCGGTTCTTTGCGACTGTAGCTGTAACTCCAGCAGCTATCTTTTAAAGTACAAATCAATCGCCTTTTATGCTATGTTCTCGGTATCACCTTTGAGACCACTCATGTCCTGCCATACTTACCACGAAATATCGCAACGCTATGATCACAATTCTTACACATCGTGCTATAAGTGACGCAGTTTTTCTCGCCGGTGTCATGATCAACATGCACGCTGTCATGCCGCAGTGTTTTGCACCAGTTTGCATGGCATGGCTATTGCGTATGGTCGCCTCGCAGGCGACCGGTAGGAGCCATGCAACGGCCTCCGTGACGAAACTGAGACAGTTACCAGCTGCAGTGCTCAGGACCGGCTGTGAATGCTTACGCACGCCACGTAAGGCTGCAGATGAAGCGCAGACGGCTGATCACGCAACAGTATAGACTTGGGATTCCGCGTTTGCCGGTTGTAACTACGTTCAACTGCCCATTACCGCACCAGCCAGGAGTATACAGATAAAACGCATCTTTGTTGGCAGTTAGCGGTTAATAGCACCGCACGAATGATGCGAGACCTACTGGTTCTGGGTGCGTTAGCCTCCGGACCGCCTTCATTGGTAGCGTTTGGCCGTCGGATGCGACGCACAGTGGCGGTATGGTGTCCAACCTCGCTGGGCAGCCCGCACCCTCGTTCAGCCTCACCGGGCAGCACACACCCTCGTCCAGCCTGCCCAGCGGTCCATGCCCTCGTCCAGCCTCACCGGGCGGCCCACACCCTCGTCCAGCCTCACCAGCGACCCACGCCCTCGTCCAGCCTCGCCAGCCTCTCTGGGCGGCCCACACCCCTCGTCCAGCCTCACCAGCGACCCATGCCCTCGTCCAGCCTCACCGGGCGGCCCACACCCTCGTCCAGCCTCACCAGCGACCCACGCCCTCGCTCAGCCTCACCGGCGGCCCACACCCTCGTCCAGCCTCACCGGCGGCCCACGCCCTCGTCCAGCCTCGCCAGCCTCTCTGGGCGGCCCACACCCTCGTCCATCCTCACCGGGCGGCCCACACCCTCGTCCAGCCTCACCGGGCGGCCCACACCCTCGTCCAGCCTCGCCAGCCTCTCTGGGCGCGGCCCACACTCTCGTCCAGCCCACGTCGGCCAGTTCTCACCTCACTTCCATTCCGCACCTGGCGCTGCGACGTTGCATAATGTAGCTGAATGCCAGACTCACTGAATGCTGCACCCATTGAAAGCCACACTCACTGAATGCTAGACTTAATGAGACCAACGGCACCCGAATGGGATATGTGTATGGCGCACTAACAAACACACTCACGAGTACTGACACCTTGCTTGCGGACATTGTACATAGCGCTCATCGATACTGATGCTGGAATAAATATACAGGTAGGCTTAGGCGGAGGCACATCCATGTACCTGATATATTTGCATCGCGAGCGTTTATGGAGTGCTAGGTAAATAGCACGGCGTAAGACGTTGCTGAAATTGCTGGTAAACATTAAAAGCATGAATACTTACGGCATAAAGGTGAGGTGCTCAATCATTCCTTTTTAACTGAGATATATCATCGACTCCTGCTATCGATGACCAAAATTGTGCAATTTTTGCAATGCAGACACATTTTCATTTTCCTACATCAGCCCATTCGCGATCTCAGTTCATCACATCTTCAGTTTCAGTGGTTTTCGTATGGGTGGTTCCCATTGCCCGTGCCGTTGCCATGACGACCACGTTGTAAGAGCGTATGCACGTAGTCCTCTGCAAAGTCACGCGCCTCTTCGTTACCACATTTATCATATATCATATATCATATATATATATATATATATATATATATATATATATATTATAATATATATACATATAATATATATTATATCTCTCTCTCTCTCTCCTCTCTCTCCTCTCTTCTCCCTCTCCTCTCTCTCCTCCGCTCTCCTCTCTCTCTCTCATCTCTCTCTCATTCTCTCTCTCTCTTCTCCATCTCCTCTCTCCTCTCCTCTCTCTCTCCTCTCTCTCTCTGGGCCCAGCTGGGCCATCCGGCTCGCCCATGCCCTGCCGTTCTGACAGGGCGCCTCGTGAGGTGCCGAGACGCGGCGAGGTATGCACATACGTGCAGGGGCGTGGTGCAGTCATCCGCAATGGAGGAGCGGCTACTAACTAAAAAAAAATCACTGAAGGCCCAGGTGGGTTGCACCCGTAGTTGTGCTAATTCCTTGCACATTCCAAAACTGTTTTGAAGTTGTTTAGTTTTTAATCGTGTGCCTCGAATTACTAGTTTGCGTATGTCCATGCCATATTAATATATGAACATATGTGTTATATATATATATATATATATATATATATTATATATATATATATATATATATATATTATTACATATTTTATATATATAGTTTTAATATTATATTTATATATATATTTTTAATATTATATTATTATATTATATTAATTATTATATATATATATATTATATATATATATTATATATATATATATATATATACATATTGTTCATATATTAATATGTGCATGGACATATGCCAACTAGTAATTCGAGGCACACGATTAAAACTTAACAACTTCAAAACAGTTTTGGAATGTGCAAGGAATTTAGCACTACTACGGTGCACCCACCTGGGCCTTCAGTGATTTTTTTTTAGTTGTGCCCCTCCTCCACTGCGGATGACTGCATACGCCCTGCACGTATGGCATACCTCGCCGCGTCTCGGCACCTCACGAGGCGCCCTGTCAGACGGCAGGGCATGGGCGAGCCGGCTGGCCCAGATTTCGGCCTCACCGCCTCGTTTCCCGACGTCGGCGCGGGTGACAGCGTCATCTGTGCATTTCCGATCCGGCGCGGATTCGGCAGAGGAGCGCTGGAGGCGTCGAGCGCGGCGCGCGGGTGGCGTTTCCGGCGCGCGGTTTCCCGCCGGCAGCGGGTCCCTCGGCGGCGGCCGGATAGAAAGCCGGGCGTCGCTTCCAGGATCGGCCGGGTCAGGTCACCCGGTGCCCAGTTGAGAATGGGGCCGGCCGCAGGGCCGGGAGTGACGCGTCGCTGGGTCGGCCGCCAGCTGCTCTCGGTGGCGGCGCGAACGGCAACGGCCCGCTTCCGTTAAAAATTAGCCCACTGCACAACACGATCACTGTACCCCCTCACTGTTAGTCGTCTTAGGCAGGTGCGACATGCTAGTGCACTTCCTCTGCATAATGCTGCAGCAAAATGAAAGTGTTTGGGTTGATGAACTGACGTCTTGACTCATTATGCCTAGTCGTTAACACGTAATTGTATTGGTAGTCGCGGCAGATTTGGGGATTTCAGTCAGGCGTAGTTACGAAAGCCCCGACGACTTTGATGAGCCGTATATCTTAAGCGGCACAGGCGTGGTTGAATAAACACGTTGTGTGCGTGCGTTTCAGTAGTAGATGGATCCCCAGCATTGCCTGTTGTCTACACATTCTTTAAGTAGCTTCAAAGCTGCCAACAATCTCGGCTTTAAAGCCAAGCAGACGACCATTTTTTCGTCCCGGAAAAAAGATCCTGCGGAACGCAGCGCTAGAAACGACCCAGCAAATAAAGCGCCGCTCCTACGTGACACTGTGATCAGATCGTTTCACCGCCATGGGCTACGGTGAAACCACCTGCAGAGCATACGGCGGCCACTGCATAACTGTGAAAACTGCCCCGCATGCGCTGCATCCCCTGCAGTGCACCGGCTGCACAGGTGCGGCAAGAGGTCCGCACTGGACCAGCAGCCGTCGCCAGGAATCTCCCGACCTTCTCGACATAGCCGCCCAGTCCAGCGGAAAACGGCGCTGGGCGGTTGGCATAGCTGCGTTCTTCTACGCGTGTTGGTCGTGCCACTGTCCGTAGGATTGGCCACTGACCAGTCCCATGCCAACAGGAATGTATCGGCGAATACCGTTGGAATGCCCACGCGTGACATAAGTGATCCGACAACGTAACGTCTTGTTAGACTCTCCCGCGATGCATTGACGGAGCGAAAAATGCGAACTAGGGACGGGAATGCTTGTGTTTTTATTTAGCTAGTCCAGCTTTAGTGGACCAGGGTTATCCGACCGATTCGCAGCTCGGCGATATTCTTCGCTTGATAGTGCGGAAAATCGGGGTAACTATCAGGCGAATAATATTGCCAAGCTGAAAAGCACGAGCTGGTTCTGGTCCATTAAAATTTAGAATAGCTGAATAATGCCACAACATCTTAATATGCCCCGGTGGAAAACACGGCACAGATATATTCGTTGCAGTCGCCACATGTGTTCCGAGCAGAGAGTCATGCTAAGGTGTCCCGCCTAGAGAAGCACGTGCACATTGGAAAATTGGGTTAAACACCGTCTAAAATGTCTCGTTCAGACTCATCGCTGCATGAATCATGTGATAATCAGAGTCACGAGGGCCGATACGGCTTCCCGGCACGCCATTCATTGACAGGTGGCGGTCACGGCCGCAGACCTGTCCCCCGCCCGCCCGCCCGTCCCGCCGCCGCCGAAGCGGGCGCAGCGGCGGCGTGCCGGCGGCGCGCGCGGCCGTGGCCGGCGTAGTGACCCGCTTCGGCTGGTCGTGCTCGTGAAACGTGGCTGCGGGCGGCGGCTCGAGCCGGCCGGCCGGCCGGTGAAAGAGAAACCAGTCGGCCGGCGCGCGCCGGCGGGAGCGAGTGCGCGCGACGGTCTCTGCGAGCCCGCAGCGGGAAGACGACGATCGCGCCGCCCGGCAGCCGAGCTGGGCGCTGGCGGAGCGCGAGACGCCCACTGCGGCACGACCGCCGACGACTGTGTGAGGGAGGACAGACTGCGGACTTGCGACCGCGACT